CGTGTAAAGGGACCCTGGGCTTGCTGACAAGCCAGACAAAGAAATCCTCCAGACCCATGCTGCTGGCTTCCCGCTTTTATGTAAATTAATATTAATAGGTCCTCGAGTTCTGTCTCTGTACAGATATATACAAATAGGAAATAGTTTCATATTTACATCATTAAGTTAATTAGGCTCTATATAAAAAAGAAGAACAGTTTTCCAAACTGGAGTCCTATGTGCAGACAGCAGAGGTGAGCTCACGTCCTCGGCGCGGTCACATTGACAGTGTAATGTACACTAACCATTACCGCCGGTCCCACAGGCATCGGCCCCACGGCAGCCAGAGCCAAAGGATCCCGCTCCAGGCTTTTCCTGCTCCCAGCAGGGAATAGTGCTTCTGTCTCATGAGGCACCCAAGTCCCACAGGGTCAATGCGTGTAATGTACACTACGAGCACTCTGTGGGTCCCGTGGAAGGCACAAGACCGGCACAGGTCTTCGGGTCAGTGGATGCTCCGCACGATGCTCCGAGCCCACAGCGGCCGCTCCAGCCCTGCGGGGCAGAGACCCCGGAGAGGCTCACACGATGCTGGCCAGTTCTGTGTTGTCCGACTCGGAGCTGCTGTTGCTCTCCTCCCTGTGGGCAAAGGGTTGGGAAGGAGGGACAGAGTGAGCTGTGGAGCCAGAGCTGCCTCCGAGCAGAGCTCGGAGCGAAGGGCTCAAGAGGGGTGTCACCACCCTGCACAGTCCCCAGACGAGTTTTCTTTAGCATCGGGGGCGGGTTCCCATTGATCTCAAACAACTTCACGCCATCACTTTGGAAGTTGGGATTGGGAACCAGCCGGGCCATCCCTCACCCCACACCACCCACAGCTCCTGGAGGATTCCCGGACAAGTCACAGTGTGTCCCAACCCGTCTGGGCCTGATGCTGCCCCCGCACACCCTGCTGGCGTGCTGTGCCAGCACGAGCACACGCTCACCTCAAGTCCTGCAGGGCTTTCTTGTTTTTCCTCCGCTTCTCCTCATCGATGGGGTACAGCTTGAACAGGAGCAGGCCCAGCAGGATCAGTCCCACGGGCACGGCCGACACCAGCATCTTCAGGGTGAAGTTCACATCACTGGGCTGGGAGCAGCCCCGGGTCTGGTACCCTGCAAAGCTGGGGACAGAAAGGTACCTTCAGGCAAAGGAAACTGAGTTTGTAGGAGATGAACCTGTCCCTGCAGGGAGAGATGCGGAGCCGCAGTGGGATTTAGACCCCCCCACTTCCCTCCCAGCCCTTGGGAAGCCGGGATGCCTGGACGCAGAGGTGCAAGGCTGGGTTCCCGCCCTCCCTGCCCTCAGCTCCCATGCAAGAACTCACTCTAAGCTGAGTGTGGAGATGCCCAGGGAGACCCCAGAGGTAAACTTGGTGAAGAAGACATAAAAGGAGAAGAAAATAGCTTCATGGCCATGGGAGTCAGGATGCTGCAGTTTGAAGTCATCTATGACATCCGGGAGCATGGACCTGTGCAGAGAGCAGGATGGTGACCACTAGGGCTGAGCCAACAAAGCGTTTCCTCTCCCTGCTGAGAGGATTTCCCTTCATGAGCTCCGTTTTGGGATGAAAACATCACGGAAAGACCTCCCAGGGATTTCTAACCACTCCAGCCCTGGAAGCCCAGGAGCTTCCAGGACCTTGTACTCACCAGGGAAGGAGGAAGGCGGCTGCGACGCTGATCCCAGCTGCAACAGCCACAATGTAGGTGACGATGAGGTTACTGTCCAGCACAGCCACCATGATGAGGAAGGGAATGGCAGACTGGAGAGGGGACAGAAACCAGGTTGGCATCAGTAGTACCCAACCCAGGCACCAAACCACAGTCAGCAGCAGCCCCTGCCCAGCTCCGGGCCCCAGCTCTGCTCACCCCACAGGGGGAACACTGTCCTCATTGCTGAAGGGGACCCACTCACCGAGATGCCCATGTAGACAGCCATCTTCTTCCCAAAGCGGGTAAGGAACCACTGCCAGAGGGGGATGGTCAAGGTGGCCGAGAGCTATGGGAAGAGAAGGGGGTGATGGTGTCACTCAGTGGCCAGGCTGTTCACTGGGGGAAAAGCTCTTCCCAGCAAGGAGCAGCTTCAGGGCACAGCCTCCCTCATCACATAAAATTGTGGAATGGGTTGGGTTGGAAGGGACCTTAAAGCTCCTCCAGCTCCAACCCCCTGCCACGGGCAGGGACACCTTCCACTAGAGCAGGTGG